AAAATCCTTTGGTTTTTTGACTGGCATGGACCTCATTCTTAAATTACTTCAAAGCTTTACCTATGATGTCAGGTCTTAACTACTGTTAATCAACACTTTTGGTGTCTTTCTATTTGTACTTTTATGAATAGAAAGCCTGTTGATAGTCTATTACATACTGGCAAGTGCCAAGGGTTAAAATTACTTATGAGTATCATTAAAGAGTATTATTTTCCCATCAAAAAAAAAATCTTGATTCTGATAGATACAGTAAGTGAGGACATGAGAAGGAGTAGACATAAACTTATTAAGGAGTAAATGGGATATGATTTTTTTAAATTAGAGTAATTTTCCTCTTTGATTTTGAGCACCATATTCTAAGATAAAACATGCTTTTGAGTGCCTATGCAAATGTATCTATCTTTAAATGCAAATAGCAAAGAAAAATGTATTGTTATTGTTATTTTGGTAGCAACTACAGCATTAAGTTTGTCCCAAATAAGATTTAAAAGTATCATGTAAAAAATTAGGCAAGTATGGGTCCTAATGATCCCAACAGATGACAACTACTACTTCAGGTGCTCAGCTAGTTTTCTTAATAGTTATGAGTTGATTTTTATTAGTTTCTGTCTATTGGCTTCAATATAAGGTTGTGAAGAGATCAAACTCCTTTATGATTTAAAGAATTGATGCTCAAGACAAGCATATGGCTACAGTTGACAGATATTCTTTATTTAATTTGTTCAATTATTTACTTATATCTTTGATAAAAGATGACTTATTTGAGGTGTACCCAATATATGTCTTAAAGGTTCCCAGAAGTTTTTTCAAACTACATACAAATGTTAATCACACCATCAACCGCCCCCCAAAAAGCCCAACACTTCCTGAAAAAAAAAAAAAAAAAAAAAAACAGGAGAATATTAACCCAATGTAGACTGATGTCATTCTAGGTTTAAAAAGTTCTGGTTAATTAAACTTGAAATACATCAAAAATTCACATCAGAATCTAGGACCTGTTTATTTTTTTCATTTAAACGTGCACTGTGTGCTATTTTACACTAGAATGTTATTTGTAATCTACCCTATTGATTTGTAGAAATTTATATATCTTAAGTTCTAGTCTTTTTGCCGATCATACTGAAAATATCTTCGTTCAATCTCTGTTGTAATTTTGTTTAAAACATTTTAATGTGATAAAAGAAAGTTCACATTGGAAAATTTGCAAAAACATTCAACAGTTCTTTGTTGTATTACCAGCCAAGGGAGAGCTCCCCACAAAACTATAGCCTTCCTAAACTCCAAAATGAGACATCACCTTGGGAATGACATAAAGGCAAAAATTCGACTTCTAGATTGCCTTTCTTCCCTTGAATATTGCCCACTCCAGCATGAAGCAAATGATTTAGTTTGGGAAATTTAAAAGATCACAGCCCAAGAAATGCAAAGACACAAAATAATAAATCAAGTCAAAGCTAATTTCAAGAGATAACAATCTAATCACACACTTCCTCAAAGTAGCAATGGAGTTTTGAATTATTGGAAAAAAAATTGGTCCCAAGTCCCTAAATTAAAAGTTTGCCTTTGTGTTTGGTCCATGATAGTTGTTCACCATAGTTGAGAGTGAACGCCTGTATTTTTATTGCTTAGAACAGATTAACTTGATATTCAAAAAATAACTAAATATAAAGATATAATTATTGACTCCATCATAAGTAAGGCAAACATGCATCATTTTAAAAATGAAATAACCTAGTGTTTTTCATTTTTTAAATAACCAAATAGCCTAGTGCTTGTTCATTTTCTAAATGACCAAGATAACCATGCCATTGTGCATCATCTGACTTTTCCAGCACCTTAGGCTCTGAAAAGATTATGGAGCCCATCACTACCATGTAACAAAAAATGAAAACAATATATTAAGACGCAGTTTAAGGGAATACCATAAAGAATACTTAAATGCTTTTTATAAATAAGAAATACCAACAAATTGCTTAAATGTTTTAAAAATATCCAATAGTCCTCCTCCCAAAATGTATTGTTTTTGTTTACTTGTGTTTTGATACTAATATCAAATGAGTAGCACCAGTTAAGAACTAAAAGGTTATCTGTAGATGTCCACCTGAAGTTCTGAATCAGCAAGGAGCAGTCTCCAAGTCAGACAGCAAGGTCTGATGCCACAGAAAAGCCAACAGGTAGGGAAGGAAGTGTATTTATGGGTAGACAGACACATGCATCTGCTCTTACAGAAGGATTGGATGGGAGTTCACCTTCCTGACAGCAGTTAGGAACAGATTTTAAAGAGCCTACATCTCCAGTGGACCTGGATTGTTGCCATCTCTTCCCACGCTGTTAGGAAATAAGCACAGAAGTGGATGGCAACAATTTCCATGGGCTGCACATCTCCCAGCAGAAAACTACCAGTGATAAGAAAGTGTGGGAAATTGAGGTGATCTTTTTCGGAAGTTTAGCTTCTCTATGTGATAATGACCCATGCAGCAGAATGATTTGATTGTTTCATTGCTTGTGGCATTAGACTAAATTTTCCAATAAATGGATTATGTCTTCTTGAGATAGTGACTTTCAACTTCAGAAATTTCACATTTCAGTCAAGGCCAGAATAAAGAGATGAAAACAGCCTCCTAAAACAAATTATACTCCAATATATTAAAGATGCTTATATTTTTGATAGCAGCCTCTAAAAGCAGGTAAAATTTATCTCAGTTGACTACAAAACCTTAATTAGTTCTGGATTTTTGCATTTAAAATTAAGAAATATTCCCTATTCCCAGTGACTTGATTTATTTCATAGTATTACAAAATAAAATTTACTTTCATCAAAAATTCCTTAGGAAGCTCTATGGTTAAATCTACAATATGGTGATACACAAAGCAGAAAATGATAGAACGCTTCTGAATGACTAAAGAAAATTCTAATTATATTCCATTTAATTTTGTCATATGCATTTTATTATATTCTAGTTCTAAAACCTAGTAATCACTGTTTATACAATACAATTTTCTGCTAATCATAAAAAGTACCTATAACAGCTCTGTTTTATGACATGGTGCTCAAAAACTATTTTTCCCAAGGAAATCTCAAAAGGGGAAAAATTTATGTGAACTACCTTGTTTCTGTTTGCCATACTCTATGAACACAGAAAAAGTAAGAGATGCTACATTGTACATAGCAAAAGAAAAATTTAACCAAGCTTCTTAACAAATATTTAAAAGTTTAATTCTTCCATTACATAACTATACAAAGATTATTTATTCAGCTCAAGTACAGAACATTTTTATATGAGCATAATTCCTTCTGTACATGTTCAGCAATGCACTTTAGCATTAACTAGTTTATTAATTTCAATCAAGTCATTCAAATGCAAAAAAAAATCCTTTGTTTAGTCTGACTTATAATACTTATCAACTCTTTTCCTACCAAAGGGTTTCTTTCCAACCATGTTTTATAAGATGAGTAAGGAGGCTTTTAAAAGATTTTTGGGTATAATTCACTTTTGGCTACACAGAGAAAATGTTAGCAAACTACAAAGAAGAAATCATTTAAATAAGAGACATTTTCACTTAGTGAAATTTTCTCAATTTCAGACCATTTCTGATGGAAATTTATTACACTCTAAATAAGTTTGTCTTTTTATAAAAATAAATAATTCTGATCAATCTATATAAAAAAACAAATTTAACTGGGAATTACACTCAAAATTTTTCAGAGGTTTTTACAGTTTACTTTCAATTTGTGAATAAGGAAAAGTCAACTTAATATACATTTTAAGAATGAATTTAATTAGTACTTTTTACCTTTGAAGTATAAACTACTTTTGCCAAACAACTTTTTTTACAATATAGAATGTTAGTATGTACACCGAGAAAGATAATTTTTCTAAAATAAAAATTTTTAAAAATGCAAGCTTTAGAAAGAAAAATAATTCTTTTTGTATTTCTACTTGCATAATTATTTGTTCTCTCTTCTTAACAACATTGTAAGGGAATCCTGCCCTAATATATTTTCATGCAGTTTAGAGGTTCTTCTGGTATTCAACTTAACATTAGCCAAACATTAATACATTGATAAACAAACAATTAAGGAGCTACAACTGAAACTATCTGAGGGACCTTGTATTTATGACTTTTTAGAAACTCTGGTTATTTTCAATGAAATGACAGGTGAAATTATTTGGGGAAGTGGATAACATCAGTTGCTGCCTTGGGACTTAAGTGTGTTTTGCTTTTGTCTTTGTTAGTCTATTTTTAGCACATTCTTTTAACAAAGTCACAGATACACTTAAAATTCTTACAATAATGAAAAAAGTCCTTCCTTGCACTAGTTTTATATTATTTTCTTATGAGAAAAATCACTGCTTCTAATCAAAAGCTAAACACTGTATGTTCAGATTTTGGAGTAACAAAACCATGAAGATAGTCAAAGTATAAAAGCCCATTTTCCGATCTGGAACAACTTCTGAAAATGAAGAGAGTATTTGGCATACCTTGTACTAAAGAAAAAGTCCTACTTTGGTCATTTCCTAATTTGGAGGATCCAACAAAAACCTTATGGAATAAAAATTCTTGCAAAAATCCTTTGATGAAAACATAAGTAACCACTACCATTCCTTTTAGAGTTGATAAATTATAGTAAGAGGACAGAATCATTTACTTTTTCTTGTGAGTTAAAAAAGGTTTTAAAAGAATTAAAAGATTTTTTGGTTTTTCAAACAGCAATGACTTTTAGTCCCTCAAAGGTACCCTACTGAAATGTATGCATATTCTCTCTTAAAGGAATACCTATGAAAATGAATACACTGCCAGTTAGGCGAATACGCACGATGGTAATACAGAAGTACTTGCCACTGCAGAGGGCCTAAACACAATCACATCTTGTCCCAGTCATACCTGCCTGCCAGAACAAAATAGGCAGCTGACCAATTATGGGGTGTTTATCTATACAGTGGTACCTTTGTTCTCCAACAATGTCAGATTGCAAACGTCCTGGAACACATATTTACCTGGAGGATTCTTGGCAGGGTCATTGTGGCTTGGACTTCCTGATTGTCCAGAATCTGTAAAGAAATCACAGAAAATGTTTTCTTTTTAATTTGTTTTGAAAGAATTTCACAATCCTCAGAAGGACGTTAAAAAAAAATTTAAGATACAACAACGAGGTTGAGTGTTTAAATAAAGTATACTTTCCCAAGTCTTTTGATAGCAACATTTTATTCGTCAAACTAGATGAATGTCTATACATATTTCTCCGTCAAAAGGAACAAACAAGTATTGGTCTATAATATTCTTAGGATGGAGCAAGGCCTTTGTGAAACAAAAAGTCTGGCTACAAAGCCACTAAAGATAGTGTGAAGGTTAGGCAAATATCAAGGCCAGTTAATAGAAATATGAAATAAAGCAGATACCCTCCCTTAAAAAATGCAATCTGAGTATAATTAAACATGCTTTTAAAAACCTGAAAATATGGTTTTCAGGTTTATTCAAAGAATAAAATACACAGAAATGAGAGCTTGCTTTTCCAGGATTTCATGCACATGTACACACATCCACTCCAATAATCCTCCAACCTACTGGACCCTGGCCCAGATCTGTCTACATCCCATAATAGCAATCGATTTGCAAACACCAGGAAAAGCATAAATTACTAGGTAGAAATCCAACATGGCTTTGTGCAGAGCAAATTGTTGGATCAATTTAATTTCCATCTGTGATGGACAGACTTTTCAGATAAGGAGGAAGAGATCAATGTGGTATATCTGAATTTCCTATCCCACACTATTCCTCAACAATGCGAAGTAAAGAAACATGGAGGATATACAACTGTTGGTCTTTCCAGACTAATCTGACACTGCTGTGTTTTGCTCACTCCTCTTGCCTCCATATCCCCTTTGCATTTTCTGTGTAATTTGTTCCATACTATTATACAGTTACTTGCTTTGTAATCTTCCTTTCAGATTCTAGTACTTAAATTTTGTCTCCCCAACTAAATTGCATGCTGCTAAGTGGAGGCAGAGAGTCTATCTGCATCTTTTTTGTGTTCCTTCATGCGCCGTGAATGCACTAGGCTTGCAGTAAATGCCAGAGGAATGGATAGTTCAAACTGAGCAGCCTTTGAGGATTGCCTACAAAAGGCCATTGTTAATTTGATAGTGAATTTCAACAAAATATGATAGGCTGAGCACTAATGACAGCTCCATCATGGATCCTCTTATACTGACAAGTCTCTTCTCCTAAGCCTTGCCATTTACTTGAGCAAGTAATGGATTGACCCTTGGTTAAGCAGGAAAATCCTATGCCAGTTTTTCATGAGGGTTGTTCTGTTCTTCCAGGTAAGTGATTAACACACTGCAATTGCTGCTTCTACTATTAAATGCAAGAACATCCTGTTAGTTTCTTCCTATATAAAACTTGGTTATTTATTTCTGCCCTTTGCCTCATGCCTGCAAGCTTGGTTTTAATGGTGTGAGTAGAATTATATCCCTCCATTTCATTTCCTTAATGAGATGGAATTGTCTTTTTCTTTTTGCTTTAGAACAGACTTTGGGAAATCTTTGCGAACATATTTAGTGATTGCCACATTGTCCTCCAACTCAATCCCAATACACAAAAATGGAAGAAACTGGAAAAGACCACTCGTGTTGTCTGGACTCAGGCACACAGTCACAGAGAGCTGTGTGCAGAGCTAAAAATCTTTTCTCTCAGTTCCCATGAATTCTTCTATTACTCTGTCTGGCACTGAGGCAAGACTCAGTGACTTATAATTTAAGAGAGCAATCTTTCTTTCCAAATTCCTATCAGTGAGGATACAATATTGGCCACTTTTCAGGCCCCAAGTATGACAGTTACATGAAAATGATATTTGTTACAGCTTCTACTATATCTGCCTTGAGTTCTTCTGTCTCTTAGCATTTATACTACTTATAATTTAGTTTTTCAAGTGATTCTAGCATATACAGATATTCCTATTTATGCATCACAAGCCCACTAACCGGACCCTTCCCCGTGGTTTATTTTTTTCTTATACCACATTTATGAAAATCTAGATATACATATCTAGATATGTCACAACATGAAGCAGGCTGTCATTAGCAGGCAAATTGCAGCAGTAGCCTTATTTTAGAAGCTGTAGACTCTATAGATGAGCCTTATCATGTTCAGTTACGACAACTACAAAATGGCACCACATATCTCTTTCTCACTGTCTATTGCTAAAGTGTGGGTCCACTCTAATAAAGAATGAAAGTCTCTTCCATTTCTAAAAAAGTACTCCATTAGCACAACAGTGTCTCCTGTTACCATAATACCAACATCCCACTTGGGAAATTCTTTCTTTTTTAATTTACTGGAAATTATTTTCTCTTCCCATTTCCAACAATTGCAGACCAACTTCTTCAATCAAAAAAATATACTTAAAAAAACCCACAAGCATTTGAGAGAAAGCTGAAGTGGACACTAATGTGAGTCACATATTTGCTTTTTTGTAACAATTTCACTTTCTAAAATGGTCTGGTATTTACTGGTATCCGATGCCAGGTTTTTCTTCATACTTGAAAGTCTGTGTCCTCTCATGAAGCAAAATAGCATGCTGTATCCCCCAAACACAGAAGATGCCCCCTTCAACGGGTAAACAGCAGAACATGTACTTATTATACTGTAAGTTCCAACAATATAATCTCCTCTTAACTCTCATGTCACCTTATATCAATCACTTAATTCCAACTGTTGGAAAAGGAAGTAACCAGGGAGTCGCAGTTGGCAGAGAAACCAAAAATGAACTGTTATTGTGGTTGACTTCAGAGAAGGGATTACTCAGACCACATCTAAGACCCTTCAATTCACCACCTAGGTCAAATTACTCTATAGTCAAAAGTTTTATTTAACCACTTCCATCACTTTGCTCAAGCTCTCCCCCAACTCTGGGGGAGTGTGTGTGTGTGTGTGTGTGTGTGTGTGTGTGTGTGTGTGTGTGTGTACATATTTGATATGGTTTAGTGAATCCTGGCTCCATCCCTCACTATTTGTGTGATCTTGTACAAAATTACTTAACTCTTAGAGCCTTGCATTTTGATCTTGAAAACTGTAATAATACTATATAGCTCAAAGAATCACTGCAAAGATTATACCATATCAAGCATCAAGCCCTTGTTCAGACACATTCTACAAAATCAATAAATGAAAGATACTATTAAGCACAGAGCTACATTTAAAAAAAAATCATTAATATTTTTAATAGACTAACTCTGGGGAAGAAAGAGAGTAAAGGACGTGACTAAATCTGACTGTCCAGTGCAAGAAATTTCAAATTTCGGTGGTAAGTCTATTGAACAGAAAGGCGTGTGCCCACTTGAGAGCTCCTATGTAGGTGCCCTAGTGCTGGGCTCCCCAAAAGGGAAATGGACACTGCTGTTCTAAGAGCTTTCAGAAGGTGCCATGCTCTGTACCAGCCACCTGATGAAATTGCTTTCCTGAAGGCCAAAGTTTTTGAGGCACGAGGTTGGTAACAATAGGGTTGTGAATTGCCCAGCACATTGGGTCTTGAGTTTAGGAAGATTTTGATGCCATGAAGAACAAAGGAGAATGGGCCTGAAAGGTGGCTGACCCAAACCAGTCCTCTCTCATTCCCTCCACCTTCAATTTATATTTTCTACATTTCTGTGTTTGTCTCATTTGGAGCTGAATGACATAATCCTAAACTCAAAGTCATTTTATATTACATACTTATGAAAATTTCATATTCTCCTTTCTCTCTCACACACTCTTTTCAAGACAGTCTCACTATGTTGTCCAGTTTGGCCTCAAGTGATCCTCTTGTCTCAACCTCCTGCATAGGTGGGACTACAGGTGAGCACCACTGTGCCCAGCTCTCTTTATTTTTTTAAAAGGAATAAAGTTAAACATATTCTTTTTAGGAAAAAAGATCATGAATCAAGAGATTCTAAACTATTACCATTTTAATTCAATCCATTCCTCCTTCCACAGGTTAACGATTAAAGAATAGGAAAATTCACACCCCTACACAACTCTTAGAACTTTTCTCCAGTCCTTTTATTCATTCTCTTATTGTAGCCAATCTCTATGGCTCTTCTGATATCTAAACTTTACCCAAGGAGTGCCCAGACTTCCTTAATGATCCAATTTTACAGAAGACCCTGGAAGACTGAAGTGACCTAAATGACTTGTTCAACGTCAATTGGTATGTCCCCAATCTGGGCCACCTACTCAGACACACTCCTTCTTGAATGCTGATGATGCCATCTTGAAATCAGACAAGGCCCAATGATCCTTCTGTAGATTAAATGTTTCTAGGAACTTGACCTTCTCCTGACTTCCTCCTCCTTCCCTCCATTTACCAATACATCCAAAACTGTGTTCAGAATTCTAAAAAACTTTTAACTATTCTAAGTTGGAAATTATTACCAATGAACTCTAACATTAAGAGTTGTGTTAAAGTTGAAACTCAAACTTAGTTCACATTCTCTCTGCCAAACAAAGGAAATTCTAATGTTTTATAGATAAGCAAGTGGCAGGCCAATGAAGTGTTTGTTAAATATATATGCTAATAAATAAATAATGGCCTCTAAAATGTTTGTTACTGAGCATTAACTTTCTGGAGTAAATAAACTAAGTATCTGAGAAAGATTATCTAAATTGAGAAAGGTTTCTAAAGGTCATTAACATAAGCATCAATTAAATGAAAACACAGTAAGATTAATGGAGCACCTCTATATCCAGATGCTCAATATATTTCCATTTAGTTTATGGTAATAACCTTTCAGTATTGTTTTTTAAAGAATATATATTATATGCCTTCTAGAAGCTCCAAAGTGACCCAAAGAGATAGGAATAACAACAATAAAAAAAAGAAAAAAAAAAACTGGGGAGGGAGGAATAGGGACAGGAGACCAATGTGTAATAAGTTACAGTTAGATAAGAATAAGAAGTTCTGGTGTTCCATTACACAATAGGATTACTGTAGACAATGACAATGTTTCACCATTTAAAAATGATGTGTTTGAGGAGATAGATATGATAGACCTGATTTAAGTATATATGTAAC